GGCGCTCCTTTAGCAACACTGATGGAGGAGGAGGCCAAGAAAAGTCTCGTGTTGGCGGCCCTAATGACACTTGGATGGAGTCGGGAGTTCAAGGGACTGCCATGATGGGTTAGACTCGTGGAAATGATGCATGGAATTTTGATTTTTTGCAGGTGGGGACAAGAAGCATTCAAGGTTGCTTCAAACACACGAAATGGCGACTTCCATTGGAAGTAGCGATCGTCTTCTCAAAACAGCTTTTAAACATTTGAAAGGAATTGCAGAATATTTCAACCTAAGGGATAATGTAGTGGTGAGGAGCGGAAGTAGCACTTGCTCAATTGATTTATTATTCTAGGAACGTTGTAAAGAAATGGTAAAAGATCTTCAAAATGCTGATCAGTTGAAGAGCCGAACTGGGCACGTGTACATGTTATCGGTTATTTATCTAGCTTGCAGAGAAGAAAACATCCCTCGGTCATTGAAAGAGTTGATAGCATTTGACCGCACAATCAAAGAAAAGGAGCTTGCGAGGGCAATTAACAAGTTAAAAAAGATTCTGCCGCAGCGAACTCAACAAGCGTTGTCGACAACGTCAGACCTTATGGTAATGTTTGTGGTCGGGGTCATGGATGGATAATATTATCATGCAATAATTTCATGAAATTTTCTTGTTCCAGCCAAGGGTCTGCTCCCAGCTTCAGTTGTCGAAGCAATTGACTGGGGTGGCGGAATTCGTTGCAAAAAAGGCAGAGAATTATATAAATAAACAGTGCGTCGCAGTCGTCGTGATTGGGGACCCTTTTTTATTTTGACCAGGCATCGTCCCAGTAGTGTTGTGGCTGGTGCCGTCTATCTTGTCACGCAAATATGCGGTCTCGCTATTGATGCTGCTGATGTCGCCGCGATTGCAAAGACCAGTGAGGCGACTGTCAAACAAGTCTATAGGGTAAGGTACAATCTATTGTAGTCTAAACTCTTCCCTTCTTTATCAGGAAATGCTTCCTGTTTCGAGTCAACTTCTCCCTCCTGATTTCAATCCCTCCTGAACGATTTATTCGTTCCAGTTTATCCAGTGCTCGTCTTTTTCGTCTTCGTGGATCCACATTTTCGCTCATCACCATTCAAACAAATTGTTGACTCCGCTTCCCTCCAGTCTTGATTCGATGGCTATTATTGCGCAATGCTCCGTGCGTCGTTCTTGTGGTTGCCACGCTTGATTTTCTGAACCGCTTCGCCATCTTCATTGTCTTCGATGCGGCGTTGGTGGGCCCCACGTCTTCCATCAGAGTCGGATTCATCTGGCCCGACAACTCCCGATAGTCATTCAGAAGACAATACAAATGATAGATCATCCATAGAAGATGCTGTCAGCCGGCTGGGATTGGATTTGCGGAGCAATTTTTTCAAAGAGGCAAAACGCTTCGCTCGTCATAATCCAGACATCCTGGAAGCAATTTTGGGGTCCGAAAATCCGACGGACCCTCTTCATTTGGAAACACCTGAGGATGCCGATCAAGAGAAGCGACCCATCGCACACACTGGATCGCTCGTTGACGACCAACCACGATGGGGTTCCTTGGGATCCTTTGTTGTTGTGTCCGCTACAGCGTCAATAGGCCCTGGTAATTCCTGCATCAAACAATGATTCCCATCAAATTGCATTTTAGCGACATTTTCTGTTTTCCCATGGGGATCCATTCGATCTGGTGTGGGATTAGTTTTTCTCGTTCCTGTCGTCGTCGGATGGATTTTTTTGTCAATCCCTATGATGGAATTGGAACACGGTTTGGGACAAATGATGAAAAGCGGACCCTTGGTATGTCCCCTATGAACACTACTCCTTCTATCAGCTAAACATCATACAAATCTTACTTCAGAAAGTCTTTGTAATGATCCACCCTCGTTTGATGGGGTTGGGTCTAATTTCCCTCTTCCTCGTTCCTATTTTTGCTGCATCTGAAGGACGTCAGTCGATCCCCTCATTATTCTCAAATAACTTCTAATTTCTTCTAGTGTTTGCCGCTCAGTGTCTTTCCTACTTTATCGCTTCTTTGCGTTCTGCTCTCCCATGGGCTGTAACTGAAGAGATTATCGCAGAGTGTCGAGCGATTACTTCTATTACCCACTGCGCCAACTCGGCCCATTGCTTGATCGCATCTCCTGGTGTTCAATGCGTTCCTTCTCCTCTGAAGCTTGTAGGCACGGAGTCATTCTGTAGTTTTGACGTCCTTGGCTTTCCTTGGCCTATTTGTTATCCTTGTATCCTCACTAGGCGACGGAGTACTACACGAAGCTCATCACGGGGTCTTACGATTATTCTACTGCCCCGTCGCTTCACTGGACGTTGATAGTTTACATCCTGGTGACACTCATTCTGGTCTACATCCTTATTTACTACGGCCCACCGCTTGTCTCTCCTTGTACGTCTAAACCTAGAGAGTGCCTTAAAATCTAATACTGCCTCAAATGTTTTGCCTTTCCAGTGGGGAGCTTTACTGTTGTGTCATCCTTTGTCATTTTGGCGGTCATGGCCCTCACTTCCGTCAACTCCATGGAACACGGAGATTTGAGTGTCGTTGCAAAGGGAACCTTTGCTGATTTTGCGGGGTACCAATTTATTCCATTGTTGTCGAACCATGGCTTGATTTCAGATCCTAAAAATTGGGCGGAGCTTTTCACAAACTCGACATATTGGTATCAAGGGTTCCTTGTGGCTGTTGCCTCAAGTTATGTTACTCGCGGACACCACTATATTCTAGCCGCTCACACCCCGTACGTCGCACCTGGTGGCTTCGAAAGTTCCGTTTCGTTCATTCTGCTGTTTCCAGATTCTGTTCTAATCTCCTTCGTTCTGGATATGTTACCCTCTCACTGCAGATTTATGTTTACGTCGTGACAACGCTTTTGTTAGCAATCACTTTGTACACATCGTGAGTTCATGGCGAGCATTTCACGTAGTTTCAAGGCTCTATTCTCTGATTAGAACAAATCAGTTTAACGCTCTTATTGGCAATCCATTGGCAATCGACTCCACCTATTCGGGGCTTTGTTTTCTTCTCTATCCTGTGGCTCTTGCGCGGCTTCCAGGGGCTCCGATGTTCTCGATGATATTTTTTTTGATGCTCTGGTTTCAGTCAATGATACGCTTGGTTCTCTTGGGGCTTCTAGCTCTTGTTCCACTATCAGTAAGTTGCAAGACGCAACATTAACCGATGAGGTTTCGTCAGGAGTCCTATTGCTTCTCTCGAACACGCCGCAGCTTCCTCTCTGCTGGCGTCCTCGTTGTCTTTTTCTGGTTATCCTTTCCATTTGGCCTTAACACTGGCCAGTATGGAAGTCGTGCTTATGAGAATCTTGGCATCATGGTACGAAGATGGCGGGCTTCCACATTGAGGAATTTTTCTGTTTCAGCGATTAAATCGTCTTGATCGGATTATTCTCTTCTATGTGATTCCTGTTCTTGGGTTTTGTCAGCTGATTCTGGTGAGTAGGACGTACAATTATTGTATTCGCTCATTTAATTTCTCAGCTCGATCTGATGCAAGGGTGGAATGAGGTCAAAACAAGATTGGGCTGGCCAGGTTAGCAAGTCTCCTACCTAACATTAAGCTTGTGCTTCCTTATTAAGGACCCATCGCCCGAATGCTTGTTTCATTTCTCTTCTTGCTGATTTTTAATTTGTTTTTTGTTGTTGTTCCTAATACGGTCTATTACGCCGTCCCTCTACTTGGCGCATCAATCGCTTTTCAGTTCATTGTCTTCGCGATCGCTGCTTGCCTTTCCCCTCGTGGCCGGTTTTCCTATCGGGTCGGTTGATGAGAAATTTTTGAATGGTGACGATCCTTCTTCTTTCCGTAGAGTTCAGTCTTAATCTGGTCTTTTGGAGGGTTTGATACTTTTCGTCAATTGATCAACGACTCTCTCGCTGGTGCTGATAAACGGCGGCTGATCCTTCCTTGGTCTTTTTTACTCTCCAGCTGCGCTCCTTTCATTTTCTTTGCATTGGGGGCTGCATGGTTCTCTCCAACGCACATCCTGTCAATGCTCGAACCAGCCAAGAAGGCTACTCCTCCTCGTGGGTTCATGATCCAATAGGATTTCTACATCACATCTTCTTCAGTTATCGCGATTGTCACTACCCTTCTGGTTTTGTTCCTTTTGGGATTCTTCCTTCCCTCTGTAAGTTTTGGAAGCCACTGGTTGGAAAGACTACCTCTCTTCAGTGGTTCAATTTCATAAACCCAATGCCTCATCGGCGGTGGACCCTTCGTGAGGCTCCCAAACGAAGTCGAGGACCAAAGTTCGGCATTCGTCGACTCCCCATCCGCTTCTGGGAGGAATTCACTCCCATTCAGACCATTTGGGAAGCAGTCTCGAAACTCCGCTATGAAAAACTCCGATAAGTATCAGGCGAAGTGCATGCAGCCAATCGATCCGTCGTGCTTAAGACAGTAGGGCTCCCTTGAGGTTGTCCTGGAATAAACTTACTTGGTTGGGAATGGCTCAGCTCAAGCATTGTGCTGTTCTATTCTGGAGCAGGGCTCTGCACTCAGCTGTCTGTAAAGGGGTACGGACCCTCTCTGGGGGTATCGACAACACAATTTTTGCTAGAGGCGTCTCACCAACTGGTGGACGCCAACTAAGTACTTCCGTGATATCAATGTACACGCACAGGTTTTGTACTGACAAAACAAGTAGTAGTTCGTTCAACAGCAGAGTGCACAATCCTCAACAGGCTAAAAGTGAAAAGTCCACAAATAAATCAGAAAATTGTATTCCCTGACAATGAAGTATTCAAAGAATAGCATCATAAAGCCTTCCCACCTTGATCTGTTTCTTTGACCATCATTTCGTAGTATTGGTAAACGATCGTGACAGCGAGCAAAATTCCAGTGCCACTTCCGATGGCGCCGAGAACATCCGCTACGATAGTAAGAGCGCCAATGCACATCCCCCCGAAGGCTGCTGCTGTAGGAATATATCTGAAAAGGAAGCCGAATACCGAAGGAAAAAAGGAGAATCTGTCACCTGTTGAGGAGCTCTACGATTGCTGTGTCGCGATGCCCCTTGATGAGCATCTGTTGGTCCCGAAGTTGCTTAGCGACATCGCGAGCGCTCGAGCCAGAAATTCCTGTCCACATCTGCACGAAGTGAAGGTGGATATCACAAAGGAAGAAGTTCCTACTCTTGAAAAGACGGCGCAAGAAACCAATACAAAGGTGATATAAATGAAAGCGTGGAAGGGGTCGGCTCCCATATCCGAGACGCTGCTCGGGGGTGAAATATAATACGCAATTCCGCCAATAGGAACAGCATTGCCGCTATCCACATCCTGAAAACGAGTCGTTCAGTATCTAAAAAAACGATGGGTCTAGTACCTGCCACTGGCCAATAATGCTGACAATAAGACTGGATCTGAACCGACGATACAGCAACTGAGAGAAGAAGTAGAGGTTTGACACCAGAGCAGTTTGAAGAATGATGGGAATGTTTGAGGTGTAGAAAAGCTTGATCGGGTAGGTTCCTTGTTGGCCACGGACTTTCTGATAGGTCACCGGAAGGTCAACCTTGAATCCCTGAGACAACGATATGAAGTAACACACACCAGAGCCAGAGAGACCGACTTGGAAATAGATAACGATTAGAAATACTAAAATGGTAGCCAAAAGATTCGTGCAATTAGGAGCGTTACTGCGATAAAACGCCTCCCTGAGAGCATCAATTTTGTTCTTCTTCGTCAAGACCAAGTGAAACAAGGCAACCATTGCTCCCTCAAATTCGGTTCCTTTTCCAGTATTGATAGTCGTGGGGGAAAGAGCCTGAAAATCAACTTTTCGATTCAATCTTAACTCGAACTAATTTACCTTCCACACGATATTTTCGCAAATGTTTGTAGCGATGAAGAGGGAAATTCCGCTTCCCAGTCCGTAGCCTTTCTGCATCAGTTCGTCCATTAGAAGAACAACAAGTCCAGCAAACACCAATTGTGCGATAATCAGTAGTGCATTTCCAGTCCCAATTTCGTTGATATTTCCGTACATTCCGGACAGAACATATGCAACAGCTTCCCCAATTGTGATCAGGAGTCCCAATACTAAAACAGGAATCATCAACGATCTCATAGAAAGAGAGAGACTCCAAGTAGAGTTGTTTGATTTCTTACATTTCTGAGCTGCATTAAATAACTCGCGATCCTCCTTGAGACTTTGATCCACATCAACAATTCTTGCTCCAGCCAATAACTGCATGATCATGCCAGAAGTAACAACAGGAGAAATTCCCAATTCCATCAGTGTCCCACGATTTGATGCAAGAATGACTCTCATCCAATAAAAGGGGTCAGATGAGCGTGACATGACAATTCCGTAAAGCGGAATTTGACAACAAATTAGAAAAATAAAGAGTGCCATCAGCGTCCATAAGAGACGTTCCTTGAATGGAACCTGTAAACAATGCAGGAGGAGTCTGACGTCAAATCAAGAAAACGTCTTACTCTTCGATGAGGAGATTCTACTTCTGGGATCAAGCACATAACGGGCTTGATCAAGTTGAGAAAACGGACTGAAACGAAGGTCAATGGAAGTCAAAACAGCACGATGAAGCAGATTTCCAGTTCCCATCGTAGACTCACATCCTTTCGCCATGGTTACAGGAAGCTTCCCTCGAATTTAGATCAAAGTGGGACAGATCTGCTTCAATGGACCTGACAGGATTTAAGATGGGGAGGAGGTTCCCGAATATTTTGATTACGGGGACTCCTTGCACTGGGAAAACCGCCCTTTGCGAGCAACTGGTTGATGTTTTCCCATCATCTGAAAATACTCTAGGATTTGTTCACGTGAACGTCTCTCAATTAGTGAAGGACAATCAGCTTTATACGGAGTGGGATGACAATCTAAATGTTCCAATTTTTGATGATGATCTATTGGTGAACCATCTTGATCCTCTCATGGAATCTGATAGGGGAGGTGCGTCGATATGGAAGTATTTCTTGATCTATTCTTATTTTGCAGGTTTATTGATAGATTTTCATTCAGGAGAATTGTTCCCATCCGAATGGTTCGATTTGATTATTGTTCTCCGTGCGGAGACGCACACCCTTTTTGATCGCTTGAAAGACAGAGGATACTCAGAGTCCAAAATTAACGAAAATATGGAAGCAGAGATCTTTCAAATAGTTTTAGATTCTGCCCGAGAGGCTTTTGATGGAAAGGTTGAAGTCTGGGTCTTTCCAAGCAATTCAATCGAGGAACAAAATCAAATAATCGATGGATTAAAGACCGCAGTGCAACAATTCACATCGAAAGCTACAGGAACATGAATTGCTGGTTCTTCGTCTTCTGCTCTTCTTCTGTTGTGTTAAGTAGACCCCGCACGAAAAATAGAAAACATAAAAAACCTCCACAACTTTTCATTGAGAGATTTGAAGCGGACTGCGGCCCTCAACTTCGCGGTTCGCGCTACGAAGAAGTTTAGAGAACGCGGAAGAACCATTCAATTCGATGAGGGTTTCGGCAGCAATTCGATCTCCTGACTCTATGACGTGTCCGTCAACATCACGGCTCGCTGCGGAACGTCGATTGCGGTAGACTTTGACTTCGCGTGAACGCGACTGGATCCTGTGGATTTCGGATTGACGCTCGACTGATCTGGAATCTCGGAAAGACCCTCCTGGTTTGTGGAACGTTTTTGTGTGGGAGTTGATGGACTGGATACGTTGTACGTCAGCAGATCGCGTCAAGTTCTTTGTTTCAACGTAACGGTCGGAAATCGGCAAGGAGTAGTTCGCTGCACGCGACGTGCTGCCACTTCTCGCCGTGTTGGTTGTGCTTCCCGTTGGAGTGGAGGATTCGAGATCGTCGAAGTCTTCATCGTCCGGGCCATTATCCGTACTAATGGAACCAATACTGTCATCACTGCGGAAATGCAATTTCTCATCTCTCCATAAGTGCAGAAGACGCGACTGCTGCCCTTTCGATCCCTCAATCAATGCTTTCTCAGTTTGCATCTCCCATTGCTTCGCCTCCACACCCACTGCCTCCAACTTGCATAGACTGACAGACTGCGCTTGTGCCACACGGGCCAGTTGATTGACTTCGTCACAAAGCTTCCCGCATTTCTCGCGGAATGTTTCATCAAACGCATCCGCAGCGATTGGAATCTCGACAAATCGAGGGAGATAAACTGGGATGCGGATTTTCTCGTAAATTGCGACTATCTTTGGAAGCTTCAGTTCGATTTCAGTTACCTGAAAAATCAATATTGAAAGAATGATCCCGCTCTGTTGTCTATCCATTACTTGCTGTATTGGGACGGGAACCAAACGAACGACTTCCTGTTCGACTTTGACTGTGCGAACTTCGGGAACTGGTCTGTCAACCTGAAGAATGCGATATCGTTGAAGGTTGATGCTGATCTGACAGTCATCGAATCAAGAGTAACTCACAAAATGGTTGACTGTCTTCTCCTTGATAAGCAACTCTTCTTTTACCGTCGGGATTTCAATTGTTTTGTAAACATCAATTTCCTTCACCTCAATCTCAGGAACTTCTACAACCTGATGGAGAAAACGCAAGTCATTCTTCTGTTCACGAATCAAATACCTTCTCCTGGATTTCGTCAATAAAAACGTTTTGGATACATTGGTGCACTGTTTCGACCTCTTTAGCCTCCACCGTTTCTGTAACCACTTCATGAAGGTGTTCTACGACATTTTCAACGACCTGAAATCATCAGCTGGAACACTAGCACCGACATCTGACTGTTACCTTGTCATCATCATAAACCTCAACAACTTTTTCTTTGATGATCGGCTTTCCAACTTCCTGATTTCAGAAACGTACAGGTTGATGCAGTTGTTGAGTCTGAATTCTTACGATAATTTTTTCTTGTACTTTTTGAACTTCCTCTACAATTTCTTCATGAATTGTTCGTTCTGGAATGACAACAGTTCGATTCTTCGTCACGCCCTCCTTCACCACACGAGGAGTCAAAACTTCAACTTCCCGCTGCTCTCGATGAATCTCTCGATGTTCGGGAGTCAGATCTCTTCGATCGATCACTCGACGCTGGTCCCACAAAACCGTTCGATTAGTAACAGAACCGTCAAGTGGATACACGGGGGCTGAAGGAACTCGCCGTGGTGTTTGACTTCTTGTCGTGGCCACAGATGTGGGAGTGGGGACGTCATCAGATTGAAAATGCGTGATTTGTATTTTCCCGTTGGAACGAGTTGAGGTCGAAAGCGTTTCTCGATCGAATTGCTGTGCATGGAATGAATGGACGCGAAGTGCTGTCGAGTGTCCTTGATTGAGCGTTGTTTTGGGGAGAGCAAGCTTCACCGACTGCCCGGCGTGTTGAAATGGGATCTGTTGTTCGGAATTGTTTTGCTGAATTTGTTGTTGGAAAGTTGTCTGTTGTTGGGAAGGTGTTTGTTGTTGAGGAGCTGGTTGTTGTTGTTGAGGGGGTTGTTGAGGAGGTAGTTGTGGTTCTTGTAGTGAAACTACTTGCTGATGGGACACTGGCGCATAGTACTGGATTTCCCGCGGAAGTGAAAAGGGTGACAGAGCTCGTCCTTGTCTCACACTTGGTGCTGTTGTCGGCTCTCCTTCAAAAAGTGAAGTATTCATTTCATTCTGTGCGTGGCGTGAGACCCATTTAGGGGCGCCTTCGTCGACCTTCTGCTGGACAATCTGGTGCTGAAACGTTAGGAAGTCTCGTTGTTGATTGATCTGTCCTTGTGTGTACATGTTCTGCACAACACCATCGAGTAGTTGTTCCATTCCCTCAGATGGAACATCACCTCTGCTACCGATAAGCATCTGCGGTTCCTCGCTATAGACATGCGATTTTGCATCAAACTGGTTTCTGTTGTGGTGCTTCCTGCTTTTTTTCATTCTCGGGCTCTTCGTTATGACCGACTGGGATTCAGCCAGGCACAAATCTTGGCACCAAGCACCATGTCGAGGACTTTTGCTCCGGTGAGAACGATGCTTACGCCGGTGTTGTTTCGCTGAGACATCCACGTGGGCCTTGGATAACACCAAGTCGTCATTGAATCCCTGATCGCGCATCGTATCCAACAGGAGGACTGGAGCAGTGGGAGGCATGTTCTCTTTTTGAGCTTGCATGCAAACAGGTTTTTAGAAACCGAGTGATTCGATCCACTAGACAAAAAAACAGAATAAAAAAGTCTAGAAGCGGTTTGGCTTCCCACCAGCTTAATTGCTTTTTGATGGTCTCCCTGAATCCAAAATTGGTTTCCTTTCCGTTCTAACGGGCTCTGACAAAGAAGCCGCAGCTCTCTTTCGACGCTCTGAACCGACAAAAATCAATTTCATGCGCCCATGTACCAATCAGAAATACATTTTCGAAACATCGAACTCACAGCAAAGTCTCCAGAAATGTTACGCACGACGGTCTCCACACTGGATCTCTTGCTTCGAGAAGGCCCCTTTCTTCGCAAGACTGTCACTGGCAGTCTGTCACTAACTGAAGGACAGATTCGGGGTAGCGACGAGGGTCAACCTACCCGAACGATGAATATGAAACGGAAACCCATTCTGTTCTCGAGATTCAGCAAGGGAATTCACAGACTTTAGGGTGGGTGCTTGTGGGTGGATTGTGTATCCCTCGTCTTCCGTATATGGTAGATGAGACAAAGATCGTTTTATCAGTCCAACACAAATTTGGGATACCACTCGAATAGGGGCTCCGAGTAGTGCCATAATTTTTAGAATTGGAAGGACAGTCGTGAAATTACGAGCTTAAACAGGTCCATCGCAACGCACACAAGCATGCACCCAATAGTCCCCATCATCTCTCATCACGCAGACAGTTCTTCGTTGCTACTGAACATCAAAATGGCGTCGAAGCTTTTTTCTCTCGCTCAGGGCGCTGTTTGTGCAGCATCTCTTACTGTCGGCCAAGGGGTTCGCAGCGAGGCTTCTGCTCAAATTGACGCACCACAGGTCGATTTCGTCGCTCCAACCCAAAAATCGATTGGATTGAGAAGGACTGAAATTCAACCTCCAGTCGAGGCCGCGGCTGCTGTTCTTTCGAAATCTCCATGTGAGCCCGAAGTTCCTTCGACTGGCGAAGATTCCGCGTGCCCTGGCCTGCCGTTCGAGGGTGCGACCAGCCGGGACGCCGAAGCAATCAGGCGGGTCGGTTCGCTTCTGAATCGGTTCTTAACGAACCAGATTAAGCCGCCAACCGATGTTCCTTCCGATGTTTCGTCCTCGACAAACGTTTCCGTTGGCGTGTCTCAAATACGATCTGTCCTTAACGAAGCAGTGCTGGAACAATCACAACAGGAAGAAGGCAGCACACCTGTCCTCTCAATGGCCAGAGCTTCGGTGACTGCTTCAAAACTACAGGGCACTGCTGAAGCTGTAGCTATGACTTCCAAAGTCCCAACAGAGGTGTTGTCCTCCAGCAAGGCTTCAGCTGTTGCTTCCAAATGTCCTGCCAGTTCCAAGGGAGTCTCAACAACAATCTCGAATAAAACCTGTTTGGGAAGTAGGCGTTCAAGACGCTCCGGCCGGCGTAGCAACGACAAAGCAATGAGCAGACTTCTGGCTCTTCCCGAGGGAAGTTTGACCTTGGGAGGGAGAAGAAAGGGGGTTGCCACAGTGGTGGTTGACAACGAGAAAGCATCTCGGGTTCGAGCCCGTATTGCGAACAGCACGAAGCAGCTCCAAGTGGAAACTTCTCCTGATTCCATCAAGTGCACGTTTAACGACCCCAAGGCCACAACAATTGTGATCCGAAATAACTCTTCGAGTCTTCCGATAACCAACGACTCCTCATTAATTACAAGTCGCTTGACAAGGTGGACGTCCAGACCGGGTCGAATGAAGCTCTTGTTGAACCAGCAGTTGAAGGTGAAGCGTTTTCGAGAAGGGTCACGATGGCGCAACAAAATTCGAAGGTCATTGTTTCCCTCAGCTGAAAAGTTGTTCGAAAGTCTATCCAAAAAGGCGTGTTGGACTCTTTAAATTTTTCACGTGTCGTGCTGCTGAGCTCATGTCATGGGAGTGTTAGCTGAAAATTGTTTTACCTCTCCATCAAGCGCACATTATCTCTTGAGTATTTTAAAGTATGTAGTTGGCAGATAACTGTCAAAATTCAAACTCCTGAATATCTTGTTTAATCTTTAATTGCTCTACAACTCTCGTGGTATTCGGGACTGGAAAAATTGATTATTGGGAGAAAACGTTCGAGTGACGAAAAAAGGTTCAAAAGGTTCTGGGAATCGGTGCAAAGCGGAAATACGATCATCATATTCTTAAACGATCCATCAAACCTGAAATTCCATTCTTAAAAAAGATCCCAAGACTTCTAGTGAGAGCCAAAACTGTTGAGCGGTAGATGACGTCATTCAGAACGAAGGGAAGTTCCCCGCACAACCCGAAAGATTAACGATGATTGAGGTTCAGCGAGTGGGGCTTCAAAATCGGATTGAGAAATCTGGACGAGACAAAATTGTTCCGACACTCCGTGAAGATTTCTGGTGACATTTCTGACGTCTCACACGGGAGACACAGATATATTTCCGATGACAAATGTATCTCTGAGGCAAGCGGTATCAGACGATAGATGGATGGATACTCAGGGAGACAATATTTCACACCCCTAAGTGACTAATGGGCGATTGTAGCCGTAGGAGGGACAGCTGAAGTCTGTTGCGCTACATATGAAGGGAAATTACTGAAAGTATTTTGGTGGACCGTGATAGTTTGGGACGCTGTATCTCTGAGCGGGTTGTGACGTAGTGGCCATTTGATGTCCCATCTGCATCGTCATCCCCGTATTCGTGAAAGGGAGTCGTGAGCGTCGGGACGTCGTTCGATCAAACTGGTTCGAGGGGTTCTGAGAAGGCTGAAGAGCTGCTTGACTGTTGCTCATCAGCTGCTGAGAGTTTCGAGGAGGAGGGCTATTCATCTGACTCCCAAATCCAGCTGGTAGGAATGGTGCAGCATACTCCTCCTCACCACGCTTGATGGTCACCTTCAGCCGTTTTCCCGAAACAGAGAATCCGTTCAAGCGAATAACAGCTTGGACTGAGGACTCGATGGTGCTGAAGCTTACAAAGCCAAAGCCAAGCCTTCGACCAGTCCCTTTGTCCGTCGCGATCCTAGCACTGACTATTTGCCCGAAAGGAGAGAAGCTGGCGACGAGATCGTGCTCGCTCCAGTCGTTCGGAATATGAAATATAAAGACGTTCGCACCAGGCGGTCCGTGCGTTTGCGCGCCTACTCCTCCTGGAACCACATTCGGGTGGTGGGGGGCATGTACCAGCGGCGCAACAGCATCTAATTCGACGGGGCGCTCCCACTGTGTATGCCCTGTTTGGATGGAGTAGTAATAAGGTCGTCCTTCTGGGGAAACGTATTCAAGCCACCCCGACGTATTAGGAGGTCTTGTTCCTCCTCCTAAGAGCAAGCGATTGCCTCCAACCGAAGGATTCTGTTGCTGCTGCGCCTTTTTGTTTTCAGCAAAACGAACCTCCATAGCGCGCGTGCCTTTCTGCCGAAAAATGGTTCGTCAAGATACTATGGAAGCACCTCTTAACATTTTGCCGTCAAGAACGCTTCAGGCTCAGAAAAGATCAGACAAATACGAACTCACAGCCATCGTAAATTTGCCATTCAAGTTTGCTATCGCGTTAAATGCCTCCTCCTTGAATGCAAAGCGAACGAACGCGCAGCCTTTGGAAACCTTTTGCTCGTCTTTCATCACGAAGACCTCGTCGACGTCACCGAAACGGGAAAACACCGAATGAATTTCTTCTTCTGTCGCCGTTTTGGGAAGAGACCCCACGAAAAGTTTTGCCTGATCGACTCCAGGTTGACAATTTTCGATAAGAAGACCCAGCCTTTCCGGCTCCCCTAGAGCATATTTTACTTGAAGCGGACCTAAACTCTAAAAAGAAGTAGGAAGCCATTAAAAAACAAAACAGTTCATAGGACTATTGCTCACAGAATCGAGAACTCGAATGTTGTTGAGCTGCCTAATTGCAGCATCTGCTTTCGTTATTGAAGCCATACGAACGAACGCACAGCCTTTATGGGCCCCGGTGTCACGATCTCGAATGATGATGACATCGCGAACCACCCCGAATTCCGAGAACACTGCTCGTAGCTGGGCGTCATCAAACGTCTTCGGCACGCGACCAACGAACAGCTTAATTTCAATTGGAGGGGCTGAAGCGCGCGTCGCAGAGCCATCGCGTTCCGTCGCTGAAAGAGGCTGAAGAACAGGAATGGGCTTGCGAACGGCACATAGACTCACTGTCAACGTGCTTGCGGTAGTTGATGAGAACTCGTGCACAAGCTGATGAACCGATCCCAGTGAAGAGATCGTAGCGTTGGCTGAGACCGCTGTTTGGTTGGAGTTTGGTCCCATGCTGGAACTGAGCCTCTGCTGTTGTGCTGTCCCAGAAGTGTGAGGAGGGGGAGTGGAAGATGTAGATGTTGATGCCGTAATCATCGCTGTATTCATCGGAGGCGCCGCGAAAAACTGTTCCCTGGATTCTTCTCTGGAAGACACCAGCCACCACGTAAAACGCTTGGTCAATAGTGCTTGCCAGCCTACGCAGCTGAAAAGACTCAGGACGAAAAAACAGGCGGTGAGATGCGAAAGAACTCAAAACGTGAAGAGAACAAATCAAAAAAAGAGGTCTGAGTGCAACTGAATTCAAATGACATCCACGAATGTAAAAACGATAAATTCCACCAGGTCAATGGGTTGATGAATAACGAATAGAGTGGAGGATTCCCGTTATGATTTTTGACACACAGAAGACGACGAAACAAACTACGAGTGGGATATACACAATACCACGCTCAGAAGATCATGAATGAATGTCACAACATTAAGCAAAGAACGCCCTTAACGAGGCCCAGATTTACAACACGCATGCGTTTGAAAGAGACAACACCTGTACATGTCTCAGTTCATAAAAAGCCAGGAAAAAGACACCGATGCACATCCCATCTGCCAAAAAGAAGCTGACACGGAGCCGGTCGCTATTCTAGCATTTTAGCATTTCGACGTCTCAACGGTCTCCGCTTCGTTTAGATTAATGCCTAATTCTTGACAAATAGACGTCACTAGACGCCAACGGTCTTGTCCCTTAGTCCATGTGACAGACGTTGACAACAGGCACACCACGAAACCTTGGCGTGGCGAGCAAATTGCAATCGGCCCATAGAGAGACTCATAACCGCAAAGCTTCCCAACCATCCGTTTGTGAGGGCTGGAGGCGTCCGGAGGGAGTTGGGACTCATTGGGGGAATCTTGCATATCTCTCAGGCGAGTTGAAGCCTTCCGAAGAAGAGACGAGACAGCAGTTGCAATGCCCTCAGTTTGGAGGGACGACCGACGCCTTAACGACGCATCTGAAGAAGACATCAGAAAGATCATATGCCTGTCAAAACAAAATGACGAACCTGGAGTTGTAACACTTTTTGCTGCTTGTCGTTTCTTTTCCCTTGAGAGACTTGGTTTCGGTGGTCGCGCGTTCATCAGACGGGACGTTTTGTCTTCGAATCGCTTTATTTGGCAGGATTGGAGATCAGCGAAGAGTTGGACTCCTAGACCCCATCTGAAACAAAAAACTAATCTGATGAGCAAGAGGCTAAATAAAGAGTACCTTCGGCTTGCTCCGTATGTCAACTCCTGAGCATGGAGTGTCAACACCTCTTCAATTTGCTCTGCGGAAAACCCCAAGCGAGATCTGGGGGTAAGAAGTCCTTGGTTCCCAGGAGATCGACTTGAATGTCCTGAGCTGGAGACGAGGCTCCCGAAAATATCTGAAATGCGTCCCAAAATATAAAGTATAAAACTAAACTAAGACGAGAAACCCTCACCTGCCCTATCGGAATCTACGAACGGAACTTTGGAATCTCTGGAACCCGTCGTTTTAATCTTACTGGTGGTGCCTCTAGTCCAGCTCAGCGCAGCATCACCCGAAAACGCGACTCTGGATGGTGAAGGCGTACGTGTTCGGTTTCCGTTCGATCCTGAGCGTGATCGGGTGTTTTGAGGAGCCACAACTGCATCCCGATCAAGAACGAAGAGCAAGCCGGCAAGGACCTCCGCGACGGACTGAGCGGTTCCGTAGAAACCAAGCGCGGCGCTCGGCGCACTTCGGAATGACACGTGATTGACTATTGCAGCGTCGTAGATGCAATCTGGGGAGTCTGGCGAGAATGGGGGTGTGGATTCGGAAGCTGGTGTAGGTGAAGGGTTCATGGGCGTCGGAAGATCGGACATCATTCGGGGGGCGCGACAGATTCTGACTTGCAGCGCTCTTCGTGCTGTGGCGTCGATTATCGGAGGGCGGCCTGGAAGAACGAGTTCGTGGAGAACTCGACGTTTCCCCTTCAGGAACGACTTTCAGCAGGGTGTCCCAAGCAGGCTGTTGAGCGCACGGAGGAGAGATTTCCGTTTCCTCAATATCAGAAACAGAATCATCGGGATTGATCGGGTCTGTCCCAAGCTTCACTCCCTCGTTCCCAACTTCTTGTTCAAGCTTGCAATCACTAACTGACTCCGCTTGCTTCTTCGCTTTCGGTCGTCCAACGACGAGATCCTCAAACAGCTTTCTGCATTCGGCATTCAAATTTGCCTGATTGAAAGAAATATCGGAGGGCGGTAACACTAGACTTCGATATCGATATGGATGGTAATGATAACTCACTGCAGCTGAGGAATCGATCTGAGGAGCCTCATCATTCAAGAACGTCTTTGCGTCTCGATACGGTTCGGTAATCCAGGCTTCAGCTGCTGACCCTATCGCAGAGCAAATGCCGTCGTAACCTCGCCGAAAGCTCCAGACGCTGAGATGTAAGATTCGCAAAGGTGAGCCGTCAAGAAAAATATGTTCATCCGTACTTCACTGCACCCTCAAAGAGTCTCTCAAAGTCGTCAACACAACTATTCCAGACAGTTGCAACCTCCGGCTCCTTTCCTGAAATGTCACTTGGAACGCCGAAAGACAGCTGATTGTCGAGCTCGAGAGGTTTTGTAATGAATCGTTCCAAAACAGATCCCAGATCCTCAGCAGGAGAAAGCGCAGCCAGGATGCGACGGACCATCACGCCGTGGTAAAAAATGGAAGATCTTGATGAGACGGAACCGCACGCTGTAATCCAGTCACTGCCGTACGTCCGAATGTCCGGTGCAGGGGAAAAAGCGACGATAGGCGGATTCGGGATCGAGCTGGACGAGCGGCGAATTGGTGTTAGGAGGTCCCCATGGACCGAGAACCATGGTGGCGTCGCTAGATGCGCTGTGTTAGCGCCCAATTGGTCACTTGATGCCGCGTTGAGCGTCAAATTTCTCTCCAGCCTCTCCTTAGGGATCCCGACCCAATCCCAAACAGGAGGAGTCCAGACGGGACATGTTTTCGCCATCAAACTCCGGAACTCGTCGTCATCAGATTCCAAACGTTGGAGCTTCGAAAACGAAGCCATACGAGAGATAGAGTAGTGAAGCCCATCGGTGTTAGTTAAGAGATGACGAACTGTGGCAAGGGACCTCCGAAGCCTGGCAAGAGAAGCACCTGGTCGCCATGGCCTTAGGACAGAGTTGTGAGGGGAAGGCAGGATCCCAGAAAAGCCTAAAACTTCCGGGCAAATCTTGTGGAGCGGAGTGTCTAGTGTCACTGGCTCCCTTAAGAAATCCCGTCCAGGTCCGAAATAATCGAAAAGATCAGAAGATAACGATTGAGGTCGGGGAAGCGACGCTGAACAAAAAAATGGGTGTAAGTTTCCATATTGGGAGAGACCGCGTACTCACTTGGACCTTTTAGTTGATTCGATTCGTCAGTTTCTGATTGACGTAATTTTAAACGACCCTCTGAACCGATCAGTCGACGGGGGTAGTGTGACGGACTGTCTCCGTCGATGTATGCCAGATCCGTTCCGGATCGACGTTCGTCCATTCGCCATCGCCGATGCTGTGGATGCGATAAGTGTTTGAAACGCTTTTCCTAAACGACCGAATCGATCCGTCGTTTGAAGGTTAGAAAGAACTCTCGAAGAAAGAGGGCTTGGCATTACTGAGGATGGGATTGCGGGGCTTGGAGCTGGAGAACTCGAAGGTGACGCGCTTGCACTTGATGAAAGCATATTGATGGATTGGTCTGTGGATTGACTGTTTCCGAGGTTGTCTCTGCTTGTGCCAATACCATGTTCGATCCCTGACGACTCGCATTGAGACTCGTCTAGTCTGTGCATAACGTCTGATTGACGTCGTGCTGCTGTGACAACGACAAGTAGGAGAACGTTCAAGATGAGCTTGCTGAGATCTAGAAGAGGGAAAAGGGTGCTGGTGGTGACAGGACGAGGGTCCAATGGCCCGCGTGAGCCTGCTGCAATATCAATCACGACCTCTGTTTCGGTTGTAGAGCCGGGAAGTTTCCTAAGGATACAAAGCTGAAAGCCACCAATGTCTTCAGCATTATGCAGAAAATCCATGATAATTCTCGAGACGCGCTCCTTGAG